GGGCTATCTCTGACATGGACTCAGTGCCTGGCTTTTTGATCACCTCCTCCTGAGGAGGGAGCAACCTTGCCAGGCCACAGAGGAAGACAATGCAGCCACTCCTGATGAGACCTGATGGGCAAGGATCAGAGGAGATGAGGGAGGGAGGGTAGGATTGGGAGGGGATGAAGGAGGGAGCTACAGCTAGAATACAAAGTGAATAAATTGTTATAAAAATAAATTAATTAATTAAAACAAACTTTCTTGTGATCACTCTGAACTACATCAATTACAAATTATATAAATTATAGAACATGTTATCATTTGCAAAAGGGACAAGCTGAAGTAATATGACTCATATTTTTTTCATTAATCTTCTACTGGAAAATAGGGAATGATAGAAAATCACAACACTAAAAAAGTACTTCAGTTCAATGTAGGTTGTTTCCATTGATTTAAAACATAAAAGTCTAATGAATCTCAGCCTGGTAACTATTTTTCTAAAACCAAATGCAGACACACTTAATGCTATTGTCTATTTTATATGTTTCTTTTGAAGAGTAAAGCTTTATCTTTAGTCTGCTTAGGATTATTACTGCAGCCCAATACAGTCTCTTACATTTTATATGGCCTGCTATTCCTAAAGTGACGAGTACACAGCAGCATTTAAACACTGTTGAGTTCTACTCCAGATATGATAGTAGGGCATCCTTAACCTCAGCACATTTTTACTAATGTGTAAGTGGGAACCTCTATGATGCATATTGTATATAATCTCATATTTTCTGTAGATTGAAATTAACTAAATAACCACAATATATATATGTACCTAGTTACTTTTGCTCAAATATTTTAAATTGTCAAGTAAAGAAAAGAAGTCAGGTTTATCTTCAGTATGAGAACAGATATGTGCAGGTGGATCTCTGTGAGTTCAAGGCCAGTCTGCTCTACAGATCTAGTTCCTGGGCAGCCAACGCTACACAGAGAAACACTGTATTGGGAAACCAGAGATACAGAGATAGAAATAGAGGGGAGAGGGGAAAGGAGAACAGACATGTGATTGGTATTGGGCATGGGCATGGTGGCATATATCTCTTATGACAGTTGAGGCAGGAAGATCATGAGTTATGTTATCATGTGCTACAGGAGTGTTATTCTACTTCAAAACCAAACCACTGTCTTCTTTGTTGTTATAGTATAATATACGATTGTTTTTCTCAGTTTGTAAGTTCTCCGTCATCCTCTGATAAACAATTGAGTAGCCTATTTAGGCAGAGAAGTGGAGCAAAATAAGGATACCATAGAAAATAAGCAAACAAAAATACTAACTAGTTGGTCCTTTCCATAGATTTTAAAAGTAGAAATTAGTGTAGAAATCTATGCCCATCTTTTGAATTTTGACTATGTATCTGGTTTATGTGTACTTCACAATGACCATCTTAAACTTAAAACATCATTTTGTAGACAGGATGCTGGTAGGTGATAGCACAGAGTTTGCCTCATCAAGTGATTGGTTGCGTGATAATATTTCTAATAGATAATTTAAATTCATAATATAACATCTCAAATACTGTATTTTAAAAGTTTTGGTGCCAGAGATGTTTAGTATTTTGTTTAGTAGTTTTGGTCAAATTCAACAAATCTTATTCTCTAAGCTAAATATCTGCTAAATAGTGAAAATATATCTGAAGAGTTAGTCTGTGTAAGCTGTATTGATATTGATACAGATAGCTATATTGATATCTATATGAAATACACTTATTTAAAGATTTTAATCAAGAAACACTGACATATTGATGATTATTTAACTCTGAAATATTCGTTTTCACCATCTTGTGTACTTTGCACAGATCACAATCATGAAATGTGTATATCCAAAGACACTAAATGAGTAAAAGGGCTACTTACTACACATACTTTTTATTTTTGAAAATAGTTATAATTTACATTATCTGTACCTCTTCGAATTTCCTTTATAATATCCAATAATTTGACCTTCTATCAATATGAATATCCAAGAAAAAAATGACATTTTAACTTAAACAAATGCAAATACCACTGAAGATAAAATGTTGCTAACAATACAATCAGAAGCCCAAATTATTGCTCCCTCCAGCAAGCTGGTATTTGTACCTCCGAAATTGCTCTGTTTGAATTAATCAGGTCCGGTTCTACAAGCCGGTAAGTTCTATACCTACAGTGGGTTAGTGAAATGTAGCCTTGTAGAGGAGCAGCTTAATTTTGGTCCTGATAACCAGCATTAAATTATGTCTTTTGAACAGGTAACTAACACACTTTACTTTTAAGTTCATTTTTTTATGTGAGTGTAGTTCCCATAAAAGTAATTAATGTACCCTAGCTAGAGTTCCTTATTCATACACAGAAGAGACTGCAAGTTTATAAAGAGTCAGAGAGAGAACACTATAGTTAAAATAAATTGAGTGTAACAAGTAATATCATTTATATTCATTCTAGAATAACAAGTTTGAAAATCAGTCTGTGTCATTGCAAAAAACAGAAAAGCCTATGTCAATTTTCTAAACTACTAAATTTTAAGATCTACTTTCATCCTCTTGTACTCAAAGGCATAGGTTTGATAGATGAGGTTGACTTAGGATTTATCCTTGATTAGAGTGGAATCATATGTGTGTATGCTTTGGGTCAGTCTATCCAATAAGCACCATCCACCCAACCCATGTTCTCCATCACCTGCTCCCAAATGTAGCTTGGATTCCTCTTAAGGGCATTTGCTATAGTCATTTATCAAAAATAAATATCCATTTTTTTTTCACTAGAAAACATTTTTGCTCATTTACAATTTGCTTTTAACCATATTTTTAAACATCTACAAGAACCAATTATATATGTATGTGAAAAACATTAGCTTGCCAACATTGTAAAAAACTTGGATACATCTAAAGTTACTTGTTTTAGTTCTCTCAATCTTTGCATGTTAAGGAAGATTCTATATATTTCATACTTTTAAAAGTCTATTATACACATAACCAGCCACCACATTCTCAGTTTACCAGTGCTTTCCTGCTACCTCTTCATTTCATGCACATTTTGTTACATAACTAAACTACTCCTAGTTAAATTGATGCTAAGTGAGATTAACTGGTGGTACGGGGGGCAGAAAGACTTAGCACTTAACAGTTTACCAAGCTGAATATCATTGTGCAACCATCTCCATTTGTGAAAACAAAACATAATATATCACTACATTTAGGAAATTCATTCAAAATTAAATGATAATATTAAAATGTAATTCACAATGGACAAACTGCCCTCAAATATATTTGGACAATAAATTAGTTTCCAAGCTGGTAACACATATCTTGACAAAATCTTCAGAGAGATTCAAAATGGATATAAAATTACTAACTAACTAACTAACTAACTAACTAACTAACTAACTAACTAACT